GGGGGGGGGGGGGGGGGGGTTGAAATCTGCACAGAGCCACTCAGTCCTTTCCAGGTTCATTTTTGGATGGTCCAGGAGAGGTAACCAGGTGGCATGGTCCAGGAGAGGTAACCAGGTCCCCTTCCAACATTTAAAAAGGACCAAGAGGAGAATTTGGTCCTCCCTCCATTGATGACACACACACCCCGTCCACCGCCACGGCCCTCAGTAGCCAACCAAAATGTAAATACAAGAATTAACAACAGGGCCCCACCTTCCCCAGCTAAATTTACTCCTTCCTCCCTCCGTTCCCATCAGAGAAGTGTCTTCCACGTGACCTGGAGGGTTAACTCCAGAGTTACGATGAAACTATGGAGAGTTGGGACTTTTAAAAAGTTGGCTCTCCGCTCTCAGATGAAATGTTCTGAGCCTTTTTCTTTGCAGGCAAAAAAAAAAAGTTCTGGCATGCTCCTTGAAATTTGGAAACGGGGGAAAAAGGAAACCATTCCAACCCTGCTGAACTTGGAGTTCACGTTTCATCTTTGGGAAATGTCGAAACGCACGATGTCGGCATTTTCTATTCCCCTTGCTTGTTTCCAGGTTTCAGCTCAGTCTGGCATGCAAGCCAAGGTTTGGTGAATAGGGGAGGGGAGGATGGCCTTAAATATGGCACATACTTCTGTTCCAGACCAACTTCCATCAAAACGTTTTTGCCTGATGGGGTGAAATTGAAGGCCAATAATGCCATGCTTTAGATGATGGGACTGTGCGTACACCATGATCCACCAGTCTGTCGACACTAAATTTATTTTTGTGGACATTGCCTTCCATTATAAAAAGAAATAGATCAGAGATCAGTATGTTGGAGTGCTCCAGATGTTTTGGATTCCAACTCGGTGGGGAGAATTGTGGGGGGTAAGCGCCATACATCTCATAGTAACAGTAATTCAGCTCTTGTTTCCTCAAGCCTGTTTCAGTCATTCAGAAGGGAGGTTGGGAGTTGCTCCCAAAGCATCTGGAGGGAGCTCCAGTTTGCCTGTGCCTAGAAAATCCTACTTTCTGTGCATTAGGAAATGGAAGTTGTGCAATGGAATGAAAAGGTGTTTTTTTTCCCTTTCACCCCGTTACATGCATATTGTACCTTTTCTAATCAAAATATTAACTTTACACCAATGTCGATGGGACTAAATCAATCTCTGAACTTTTAACCAGTTCTTTAATTGTTGAAGGACACCCTTGTTCACAGTATTACACACTTCTTGTATGTTTTGGTCCTTTAAAAAAAAAAAAAAAGTATGGTTTGGCCAGGTGATCCTTACAGTAATCCAATTTCATAAACTCTGCTTGATGTTTCAAACTGAACACTTTCTCCAAAGGGCAGGCCTTCCACTTCCCACCCCAGCCCTGCGAAGAAAGGAAAAACATTGAGAGGCAGAACTGGTCTGTGTTTTAGGGGGATTTTGTGGGGAAGAACAAGGCAGGTTACATTATTAGTTTTTTTTAAAAAAAATCTCTCTGGGATTTTTTTCTGGCTTATGGCTCTTCCAACACTTTGAGGTGATTTCCAGAATTAAAAGGAAAAAAAAGCTTGCTCAGAGAAACTCTGCTTCTTTATTTTGGTTAGCATATTCTGTTTGCCTTCAGTTTCTCCAGCACCAAACCCACATCCAGGGGGTTGGAATAAATTGTGCAGTTGTAACAAATACAGCAAACAACTCTTACCCTTTATTGGACACTTGATCTTACAAGATGATAGATTCTTCCTTCCGGGCTGGCCAAGGTCTGAAAACTCAGCCTAGCTGCCTGACTCCGCGTCCTAGACGACAACACGTAAAAATGCCTATTTTACAAGGACAGAATTTCGGCTTCTTTATAAAAGCCGGAAAATTTACCCCGCGAGCCTTGCTCAATTCATAAAGAAAAAGATGAAGACATGGAGGAACCCAAAGGCAGGTCTTTCTGGCCCCCGTCGCCCACAACTGCATTCTTGGCCGCAATGATCCACATGGCTTTAAACCAAGATGCCCGTCTTGGGCTGGCTGGTCTGCTACAGCTGAATTCTAAGCAGTGTTTTTCTTTTGAGTTGGGGGGGACAGACCAGGGCTTCCCACTCTCCGTTGAATTCCCCACCGTTCTCCAAAGCCGTGGGCTTTTAAATGTATCTTCACATCTGCCCTGCCCATTCTGCTTGGCCTGAGAGTATCTGGGGAGAGAAGTGTTCAGCAAACCATCCTCAGCTCCGAGCGTCACCAAAGGATGCCTCAAATGAAATCTTCCCCTTCCAGTAGTAACTGAAGAGGAGATCCTAGATTTGAACAGTATCCCCTGCTTGTGGCTGGAAGTACGCAGGAGCTGCTCTGCCTTGCAACAAGACAGAAAATTGGGGGGGGGGGAGAGAAAAAATTTCTATACAAAAGGGATGAAGGCATCTGGATCAGAGAAGAAGCCAACTGCGAGAAGCGAGCTAAGGAAATCTGTCTTCGGAGTACAGCATCTATTCAGATGCGTTTGTCCACGTTGCAACCTTACATTTGATTTGGGGCCGTGCTCCCTCCCGTCTTCCAAATACAACGTGGCTTCTTTCCCAAAGGCCTCCCCTTTAAAAAAAACTTTTCAGACAACATGCCTAGTCCATAACAGGATGTGGAACAGCAACTGTGGCATTGCAAAGTAACTTTTGGGAGAGGTTGCACTCAAGTAACGCAATCCCTCCACGTCATGTGGCTTGGAATTAAGGAACACAGATTTTGGAGCCATCTGTGGCAGTTTCACAAGTGTGAGCTCCGGGTACCATCTTTCTTTCTACCCAAACCAAGGATCATACGAGTAGCCAAATATTTTAGGTATTTTGTATTTATTTTTTTTAAATGTACACCTTTCAGACATACCTTCTGCACTGATCATGCAGTTAAGGGTATGAAAATTTCATAGAGAAAAAATCCATACAAATACACGCCTTGGTTTCTTTGAAGCAGCTTTTTGGAGGGAGAGAAAAATTAAACAAGCTTCTTATATGTTGATGTTTTGCAAAAACAAAAGGAAGCAGCCGGGGGAGTTGTGTATGTGGAAGTTGCTGGAACTAAAACAGTTGCTTGAGCTAGAACAGATTTCCCAGCAATCGTGGAAGATTAAAGTGAGATAGGAAAACAGGTTTCCGTTCAAAAGCACTATAAATTCTGCTCATCTTTCCCCTACTATGACTAAATCCAGTGCTCCTATTTTTCAGAGAGAAAATACTTCATTTCAAAGTGCAAATGTGCACACATGCACGCACGCACACACACAAATCTTAAGCCCCTCCATAACTGTGCCCAGTATGCTAAGCTAAAGCAGATGGAAGCTTAAAACAGCAGGTGAAACCAGAAATTAATCTGAGTTAAGTATGTTAGGAGCCAGCCTTAAAGCTCCCAGACATAGCAGAAAAACGAAAAACAAAAATGCTCTATTTGATAGAGCTGGATTTTTCCCATTCCTTACTTGGCACCTGTTTTCCAGCAGATATTTCAAGGACTTTCTCAAACAGCTGTCTGAACCAAATGCAGGACTTCGGAACACATTCCCTTCTATTCGAGCGTCCGGCGAGTCTGAAAGTCTAAATAACATTCCATGATAAGGCCATGAAAATACCAGTCAGGCCATTAGGTGCAGTCAGATTTGGAAACTTTCTCTTGGTTCAGGTACAAAGGGTGCGTAGTTGTAGAGAGCATCGTCTTGCACAACTAAGCCACAGCGGTGCCCTGTTTTAGTGGCGACCGAGAAGCATTCCTTGCTAATAGGGGGTCAGCCAAACAAAGCATGGACCTGGCTGTAAAAATAACATCCATGTTGGCTTGACATCTTATCCATAGCCTCCTGGCCAGCTCAAAATACTCAACCACCACAAAAGTGGAACGTGTACCCCATGCTCCAATACTAATTCCCGAGGGCAATTTGCTGTAAGCATCCAATCCCCCAGGTATTTCAACTAGCCTACAAATATCGAAAGATCCCTTCTTGCCAATCATTTCTTGAGTGAGAAATTTCAACCGGTCAGGGCATGGGTTGAAAAGCGTGGGGCGGTGTTGATTCAAAGTACTGGCCGCTTAGTACCCACCCACAACCCTTTAAACCAGATGCGTCTCCTCCCAGGCTTGCACTGCTGTAATCGTGGGATCCCAGAAAAGACACAGCTGCTTTAAGGAGCTTCAGGCAGACGTGGCGCGAGTGCCCTCACCTGCTCCAAAGCCCACATTTGCCTTCACGTCTGAAGAACCAGCCTCGTCAAAAGACTTACCCTGCTTTCAGAATTAACACACTGTTCTCCTTTGTGCAATACATTTCAGCAATACCACAACTTCAGGAAAGGGCCTGAGTGTAGGCAACACGCCAACCCACCAAAAGTTTAATCCAAGCTCACCCAAACTGAGCATGATGTGTTATGTGAATGCAAACCCTGTTGTTGTTGTGGGTTTTTAATCAACCTGACTTTGGACCGCCGCTTCATCAGCTGAATCCGGTGCTTCTCACTGTAGACCCTGTAGGAGGAGAGTTAGGGTTCCTAATGTTGATGTCTTTTAATAAACTCTGTTAATCTGGAAAGGTGCCACCAGTCTCCTCCTCACATTTGTTTCTTGTATTTTTTTTTAGCTACCGCAGTCCTGCTCACTGTCTTCCCTATTTTTGCAACCATAATTAAACTTCAGTAGAACTTCAGAAGCCTTCCCCAACCGTGGCCAGAATTTGGTTGATTTCATGCTAAGTACTGCAACCAGAACAGCCCCTTTGCGTGATAAACCTGATAGGCGTTAGAACAGACAACCCCTCCCAGTTCAAACACAACTTTTAAAAGAAAACAAAAAAGCTGAGCTGCTTATTCCAGAGGGGAAACGTCGGGTGGTCTCTATGCACCACAACCAAACTGTGCACCACAGCGTTGGCCCCAATCATTGCATGCAACTTAGAAAAAGTGGTGGGGAAGCAAAGGAGCACCGCTGAGTGCAGGAATATGCCCCTAAGCAGAGTTAAGGATGCCTCTCAATGCTGTCTGTGCAGAACGGCTCTGTTCCATCTCAAAGGAGCTTTTAGTCTTCCTCACTTCTAGTTCCACAAACCAGGAACTTCCAATTAAAGTAGCATATTCGGACAAGTTATTGAATTGAAAGAGGCCAGTGACTCTGATGTTTGGTGAGCGCCAGGAACATACGTTTCATTCCTGTCACCTTTAAAGGCATCTTGGCAGGAACTGGAGCACTCCCCCCACAGATCCATGCCCATCCTGGTTCTGGTGGACTCATCCAAGCCTTCTTGAAGCGGCAGGTCCACCATCTGCTTCTCCATCTTGGCCGTTCCTCCTTCATAGATAACAGCATTTGACTCGGAAAAAACATCTACATATTGATTTGTATGCTCTGCTAAAACCAAAGGCTGCTGATCATCCGCTTCTTCAGAAATAACAAACACTGGCTTGGGCCCATCCATGTCTAAAGAAGAATCCTTGGATTTGGAACAGTTGACAATGTTGCTTTTCAGCCGGATGGGACCGTCTGGAGCATCCTTTCCTCTCAGACAGGGATTTTTGACCAGGGACAGAGTGCCTTCAACTTTAGAGTGCCCAGGAAGCCTTGGGTGGCTGCAGCCAGGAGAACTCGTCAAGGAGCCAAAAGAAGGGTTTGCAAACTGGGATCTTCTCAAGTTGCAGCCACCAGTCAGCTTCCGCTGTTTCTGTGCCGAATGTGTCAATGGATAGGAGGCGGTACTGGCCAAACCATCCAAATGGGACAGTTCAGAAGCTCCTTCTATTTCTCCAGCGGAGGTAACTTTTTGAATACCGATGGGCTGGTTTGGGGTTGGCGTAGAAAAACTCTGGCAAGGAACAAAAGATCCACATCAACAACTTTGACAAGCAGATGAGAGAAAACAGAGAAGAGGCATTCCTGAAGGCTCTTGCAAGCAGTTTAGATAGATATAGATAGATGAGAGAGAGAGAGAAATATAGAATAGAATAGAGACAGAAAGATAGAGAAAGATAGGAAGGAGAGAGAGAGAGAGAGAGAGAATAGAGCAGTGTTTCTCAACCTTGGCAGCTTGAAGATGTGTGGACTTCAACTCCCAGAATTCCCCAGCCAGCAGGAGAGATAGAAGAGCGAGAGAGAGAAAAATAGAGATAGATAGATGATAGATAGATAGATAGATAGATAGATAGATAGATATAGATAATGATAGATAAATAATATGGATGATAGATAATGATAGATAAATAATAGAGATAGATGATAGATAGATAGATAGATAGATAGATAGATAGATAGATAGATAGATAGATAGATAG